TTGGCCAAATAAGCTTTATGTTGTGTTAAAACACAACAAGTCTGCAGAAGGTGTCCTTTGCATTCCAGCCTTGGAAACTGAAGTCTGCAATGCTCATGTTTCTTCCATCCTGTTACCTGACTCTGAACTTGGCTAAGCTTTGGTCACCCTTACCAGGTACTTGACGGGGTTGATGGAGGCATGATTTGCAATTTATTCAACTTCCTTCACCCCTTATTTGACAACCATCTCACACACCGATGCCACCAGTTACTAAGGGGTCAAGTGAGTCTGCCTTTTGTCATAAGAAATATGGACATTAAATGCATGTTCAGAAGTTGGTTCTAAATTCTCCTTTCAGTTGCAGTACAGGAAACACCCCTCATGGTTCAAGCTCCACAATGCCAATCCATCTCAACCTCCTTTCATTTAGTGCCTACCTTGCCCAGCATGACCAAAAGGATAGGAGACAAAGAAAAGGAACAGCTAATAACACAGTTGTGATTATTAATCCCTTCACTGTGGGCTATAAAAGTATAAATTCATTTAAAATATTTTCATGGCCTTTTTAAAAAAAAGTAGGTAAGAAGCAATTGAATTGTCATGTAACAACAGACATTTTAGAAAGAACATAAAAAGATGTGTCAAAAGACCTTGTAACAAACAATTGTGTAGCCACTCCTTTTTTTCAGAGAGGAAAAAATAATTTTATTCATACATATTCATAGCTGAATAAATTATTACATTTTCATAAATATAACAGTGAGAATTAGAAAACATCAAATTACTTTTGTTAGAATTTGCATAAGCAAAAGAAAAGATGTATAATGCAGTTCTATTCCTGAACACAATGTCCCTCATTATAAGGGTAATAGATCATATTAATGTTACCTCTATAAAGAGAAATAGACCTGGTCAAATTTAGCACAAAATTTCCCAATAAACAAAAAGAACAAAATAATAGTGAATATAGTCATTTTTCCATTTATTGCTGTACATGATCTTCATTTAAATTAATCACACCATTATAATACTATAAGGATTGCAGAAATATTACCTTAGAATAAATGAGATAGTTTTAAACTTTAATATATGAACAGCTTATGAACTTCCCTCCTTTGTTCTGCACAGTATCATAAAAAACTTCTGTGGCATTTTAAGTAGATCAAGAAGAAAAATAATCTTGGTGAACTTCAAATTTAGGTTGGCTCTACATAGTCTGTATTGAAGGGGTGGAAGGATGAATTTGTGATTTCAGTGTGCCCACCTGTTTCATTATCCTTGGCCCATGATAACATGTGTTCCTGATAGTCTCATCTTTGTTTCTTGGACCCCACTGAATGAAACTGGCTCAAGAATCTTCTTTTGAATGAGCTTTTAAAAATAAATGGTTTGAAAAGGAATGACGTTAATGAACCGCTTCCATTCCTCAATGTTATGCAAGAGTCCAAAGGCAAATATTGTTCAGTAGGGCCCACAGATTGATTTATGTGTAAGATTTATTTTCTTGCTCCCAAATGAAAGGGGCTCCATGTGAGCCAAGAGCCAAAGACCAGCCAAGTGCTAGAAGTTCACATTCTTCTACTTTGACAGATGTTTCATCAGTCAACATGGAAACAATCCTTCTTACCAAATGTTCTTCCCTGGGAATAAATTGTCTCCTGGATCAAAATTTCCCTTTCAACTACCTCTCTGAATCCAAGATTCTGGGGATGCTCTGTGACCTGTGACTATGTGGTTTCTCCTGGGTTGATAGTTAAAACAATACCAACTTCTCTTTCATGATTATCTATGAATCATCATTTTGACCAGAAAATCAACTTGTTATTTAAAACTCTATACATATTTATTCCCATTAGTGATTCTGTTTATGATAACTAGCTTAAGTATTGACTTTAGAGTGTTTGCTGTAGTGAATGAGGGAGTATAATAGAGTGAAACTAATCACAGACTTTGGAATCTAATATTTTGTGGGTTTGTCACTTAGTAGCTATATAATTTTGGATGTGGTACTTAATCTCTCCAAAGCTTACCTAAATCACCTCAGGATCCAGCAGAAATCATTCTTCATTAGCCCACAAAGGTGTATTGGCATCAGATACTGAAGACACCATGAGTTTTCGATATTCATGAAAAGTCTTTCAAATTTATTATGAAAAATGTAGGCTGTTGGAATAAGTATACCCAGTGTTTCTCTTTCTCTCTCTCTCTCTCTCTCTCTTCTCTTCTCTTCTCTCCCTTCTCTCTCTCTCTCTCTCTTTCTTTCGTCCGTCCTTACAAGTACATGGAAACTTAGAAAGTTGGGGTGAGACCAATCAAGACAGTTTATTTATCATTGCATTTCACAGAATCAAGGTAGACTTGGTCTCTTCACGTGGATTTACTGCTACCATGGAGACAACGTGGCACCAAAGTCCTCAGAGGCAACTTTTTAACGGACTTACTTGTTCTCAATTCTCATTTTGCCCCTTCCATTTATTTAATCTGTGTTAATTCCCATCTAGGTTAGTCCTGTCTAGTTTTTATAATGGTAAGGAGAAATTTGTATCTGTGGTAAAAGTTAATACTTAAGAAACAAACAAACAAACCAACAATCTTGCTTCTGTTTAAACAGGAACATTTGGGCCTGTATCTGGGCCCTGCTCTGATCAGATATTCTGACTCTTTCAAATTTGAGTAGCTTTATGTAAAACTCTCCTTGATCATTTGTGATTATGATACCTGTCAAATCTGGGGGGTTTAGGAGTTAGCCAGAAATAGCATTTGTGGGCATAAGAATTTTGGGATAAACCATAAAGAGTGTCTCAAAACTCCAAAGATCTAGACAATGTCCATAGAACATGATATTGTATAATTTATTGTATCTAGGATATATTTCCGGTAATTTGACTTTCAGAAAGAGGTAATGTGAAGGTCAAGTTTTTCTCCAGGGCTCTCCCCCCTTATCCAGATAAATGGGTCTCTACAACCTTTATATTACACATATCCATAGCATTCTGCTGGGTGTGTGCTGCCAGTGTCACACACTACGGTGGTTTATAACCTGTTAGCCTGTTGAGCTCAAGGTCTGTCTTCTGTATTCCCAAGACCCAGCATACAGAAAGGCTTTGAAACAGTATGAACGGATGGTATTGGTAAGGGTCGGCTCTGATTTTACTACTTTAATTGCCCTTGTTATAATGAGAAACATAGCAGTGGACATGGGGAAAGTCTCAGTAATCCACCTGGACATAGTAATAAGAGGCTTTTTCAAGCAGTGGGATTTGAGCCTTTTAAAAATTATCATTATCCACTTATTTTAAAACTGTCATAATAAACCTAAATAATAAACCTAATATGGGTTGCTTTTGTTTCGTTAATCATAGAAAAGAGTTCTCTAATTAAACTGGATCTCACTTGCTTCTCCCTGCTTACAAGCCTCCATATTTCATTAGGATTATTATTATTTTTATTGGTTCTGGGGACTGAATCCAGGGGCCCTTTACTACTTAACTACATTCCCAGTAGTTTTAGCTTAGGTTTTTTTTTTTTTTGAGACAGGAATAAGTTGCTAATGCTGGCCTCGAACTTGAGATTCTCCTACCTCAGTCTCCCAAGTCTTTGGGATTATAGGCATGAGCTTCTGAACCTGTCAGCCCCATATATGTCAATTACAGCAATTGTCTTGTGGAGAACTATCTATCCATCAAATGCTAAACCTATATCCTTTGGTACTGTCACTCATTAGTTTTATAAGAGCATCAATGATCTTCTCCTTAAAGAGCTATCTTTATGTTTATGAAAATAATTAATTCACATTTAATCAAGTTGGTATATTAGCATTTTGTAATATGTAACTGTCAATTCTGTTTAGAGTGAACTACCTTTTCAAGCAACTTCCCTCCAAAATTCCAGTGGACAAAAGACACCAAAGTTCATTTCTAGGTCACATACGATCCAACATGAACAAGCAATATCCAAAAGGCAGAAAAGTTAATGTCTTTAGACTACCATACATTTATCAGGAAGGAAAGCTTTGTTATGTTCTACTTGGCATTTGATTAATAGTTACTTACATAGACTAATTTTTTGCTATAGAATAATCAGGCTCATACTGAATAAATATAATAAATTATTAATGATGTTTACAAATATTAGCATATCAGAATTAAATGGTGTATCCTTACTGAATTTTTTTTCCACATTCTGTTCAACTCTCAGAGGAGAATTGGTAGCATGTGTTCCTCTTACAGATGTATGTAGCATCTTTTTTTTATGCTTTTTTCTTGGAGATAACCTTTAATTTTAAACTAGAACCTGCAGACCTGATTTGCAGAAACATTTCCATGGTAAAAATAAATATTTTCTGTACTTAAGGTTAGAGTAGATAAAAATCTTACATTTTTATTCTCTGATATTTAAAGCTCTCAATGTGACTTGTCTGGAAATCTATATAGAATAGCCAACAGACTCTGTATTGATGACAGTCTTTCTACTGAAATACTAACACTGAGTGGGGGGGATGCTGGCAGAAGAAATACAGAATTCTAAATGTACCCATAAAAATGAAATACTGTGGTGAAAATGTAGGTGGAAACACACTGACTTCTTATTACTGATCTTATAGCAGAATCCACTGTATTGATACAAACTTGGAGTGGGCATCAATTTCCCATTTTAGACTTCCGTGCTTGGACTTCAGCCTGCCATTATGCTATTTGTTTTCTGTTCATCTCATCTAGGTTGTTCCCATTGTTCTTCTTTGGTTTTTCCTTTTCTATTAGATTTTTAGCTATTCTTATCCATAGCTCCCCGACCCCCACATATTTTGGAGGTATCTTTAGAAATTAAAATGTCTCTTCAATTTATCAAAATCCACTATAAATACTTTACTACAGAATAATTCTATTTACTTCTTTCTATTGTTTGTACTATTTAATATTTACATACATTATGAACTTTGTCCTTTACTATTTTGTTTCAGTTAGTAATAATTTTTTTAAAAACACTTTAAAATATTTATATATATTTATATTTTTCAGTATATTTGCTGCTTCTGTTCTTGCTGCTCCTTCCTGAAGATGTAACCTGTGTATGGGACCATTTACCTTCAGCCTGAAGAATTTCCTCTAGTGTTACGAGCCTTCTGTGAGAAATTCACTCAGCTTTTATTTTGCTTTAGTTCTGAAGAATATTTTGCTGACTATAGAAATCTGATAAATTTTTTTTTGCTGACTATAGAAATCTGATATTTTTTCTGACTATTTAAATCTGATTTGATAGTTTTTTTTTTCAAGTACACTAAAAATATCACCCTGTTGTTTTTGGCTTTCATTGTTTTTAATGAGCCTCAAGAAGTCAACTTTTATTCTTCATATTGTTCAACTGAATTTAGTAATTTGACTATTCTCTGGCTGCTTTTAATGTTTTTTCTTCACTTTAAGATGTTTTGTTTGAACAGGTTAACTCTGATGTCTATATGCCTCGATGTGGTTTTTGTTGTATTTATCCTGCTCCAAATTCACTGAGCTTTGGGGATTTTTGGATACTGTATAATTTTTATAAAAAAGTCAATCATTGCCTCTCATCCATTTCTTTTATTCCATGCTTTATCTCTTATGACTCCAATGTTGTTTTATTTATATTATCCTGTAGATCTCTGATATTCTATTTTTTTTCTCTTGATTCAGTTTATGTAGTTCAAATTGACTTTGATTCACTAATCCTTTCTTGTATTATGTTTAATTTTCTTTTACACCTGCCCAATATGCTTTTCATTTCAAAAAGTGTATATTTCAGTTGTATAATCATTTAGTTTTTTTAAAATAAACTTCCATTTCTATATATAAAATGACAATTTTACCTATTTTCTTCTTGATCTTTTCTTCTATACCCATTAACATACTTATGTTAGTTTTTGTTAAACTTCCTATGTTAATTCAATCATGTAGATCATCTCTTGACTTGTTTCTACTGACAATTTCTGTTTTCTTGATTTTGGTTCTTGATTTGGCTGGCTTCTTTACAAATCTCAAAATGTTTATTGTATGCTAGATACTATGGAAGAAAACAATAGCTGAGATTAAATTTGAAATATATATGTGTATTTATGTCTATCTCAATAGCTGTCTGTCTGTCTGTCTGTCTCCTCTCTGGGAGGTTGCATTGGTCTGTAGGGTGAGATCTCTGAATGTATCAGGAGTTATATTGGGTAGGGATGGGTTGCAACTTTAATTTCAGTTTATTTCCAGTTTCAAATGTTTTGAGGGTTTGAAACATGGGTTTGGGGCCAAAGCATCAATTTCAAGAAAATCTCTGCTTTCCTACATAGCCCTAGTTAACTGAAACCCAAGGATTTTAATTTTTTTTTAATCTTATGAAGAAATAAGCTGGGTGGAGCCTGGATTGCTACTTTAGTTAGTCTTATTTCACTGAGTTTTAAGTGCTTTGAAGTAGGTCAAGTACTTTCTTTCAGCAGAACTTTGGGACCTAACCACCATTTTATCTCCCTGTTTTCTTGGTTCCTTCTTAGTAAGTATTTATTCAACAACATACTTGTGGAAGATTTGTGAATTTGGGATGATTAATTTTTCCCTTGGGGCTATTCTATACTTCAATTCCTTACAATAACCCAACATGTTTATTTAAAATTTTGTTATTTTCGTTATTCAAAATGATCCCCTGCTTTTGATAAAATTATTTCTCTGTCCTCCCTTGAACATACAAGGCCACAGCCCTAGACTTTTCAGCAGCTGAGCTTTATGAGCAAGGTCTCCTTCCTCTTTTGAACTTGGTACATGTTGGACTTCATTTCATTTATAAGCAGTTGGAAGTTTTTAAAAGAAGGAATGATGGCTAAGTTTACCAATGTTCTCTTCTGACAGCAAAAACAACCATATTTCACTGTCTCACAATCTCACTGAAAATGGGACACACTCACTAAGACTTTAAAGACATCAAATGGTTGGGCCCTTGCTATGAATTGTTTTCAAGATAAGTTTGTTAAAGACCCATCCACTGGTCCCAATTAAGGATTTTCAAAAGGATTTGGAATAGCACTTTTCCCCCTTAAATCTAGTCTACTCTTTTTGAATAGTCTGAAACAACTAGAGCTATTTTGGTTTTTCTGTGGAGATGGAGAGTCCTGCACAACTACAGGAGGACTCTAGTCAAATCATATGCAAACCATTAGCTTCTCACATCACATTCTCCCAAGAGACTGACAAGCTTTAGAAAGTTTAAGAGCTAATAGCACAGCCGAGAAAAAAAAAAAAAAACATTTTGTGTGTTTTGTATTCCTTTCCAAGGCACATGTGTGTAAAACTGTTTACAAGTTAAATCGTTTAAAGTGTTGGGAAGATAAAAGAACTTCTAGCTAGATATTGTAGAACGGTCTTCTTTTTAAAAATAAAATGCCAAAAATATTTTTTTAAATTTTTGCATTCAGATTTTTTATTGATATAATGAAATTATACACAACAGGAGGATTCATTCACTGTGTCATATTTGCACGTTTACATAACAATCTTTAAGACTCTTTCAAATACAACTTTTACTGTTTGGAATAGTTAAAATATTGCCTTCTGGGGAAGAAGGGAACTATGCAAGACTGATTTCTTTGTTTTTGTGTTTTCTTGCTTTATAATTAAAATTATTTCCTGAGTGTCAAGTTTAAATAGTGGTGAGACTATGCTATGCTATAGGAAAAACTATTAGGAGGCTTCTTATGTGGACATTTAAAAAGATTAGGCCAACATTTTGAGTAGATAAAGTGTAGTACTGTGAATTATAAGGTGTTGGGCTGAGCTTTACTTGGAATTCTTTTTCCGACTTTCTGATTTTAATATAAAGTAAAAAAATGCAAATATGTAACTGAAGAGAAAATGGAAATCAGTTATAGTGAGCAAGAAGCAGAAGATAGACTCAATTCATTTCTAAGGTCAATACACTTTCTGTAATGTAATCTGTAAAATGAATTTTACTATTTCAGATATCTTTGTATATCACTAAAAATTCAAATTCAAAATTGCTTAAACATAAAGAATCATTCCACATTATAAAATATCCTCATGTAGAGAGACTCCAGAATGGGCAAGGTCAACAGCTCAAGAATGTCATCAAGGGCTTGCCTCCTTTTTGAGTCTATAATGGCACCTGGGTACATAACGCAGCGAATCACACACTGATATGAAAATATCTGATGAAAGAAAACAGCAACTTCCTGTGTGCTTCATTTATTCATGGAGAATACCTTTCCCCATGGACTCCCAAGTCTCTCAGAAGATATTCTTTACCTCTCTCCCCATTTTTTTTCCCTTTTGATGCTTATGTTTCACCAATCTCTGGCTAAATAAGTAAATGGCATAAGAGATTAAATGAAGCACATCATCTTTCAGTCTCCTGTAGCTATTCTCAAACACATGGCCATGTAGTTCAAAGGGTGGTGAAGAATAGAGCAAAGACAGACATGAAATGGAGTGGGTCATTGGTGGTGACAACTGAGTGAAATATCGAGAGGACTCAGGCAAAAGGGTCACCTTCCTGTACTGTAGATAGAGTTCCTCTACACTATATGGATGGGAGCAGGAGGCAGGGCAGGGATGCTGGCTGTAGGACAAGCTTCTCTGAATCTCATGGCCTGATAAGGGTGAAGCTCAACATAGGTACTTTGAGACACTCCTTTTACCATTTTCACAGGAAGTTTTTACTGTCTTTCTCATCCCTCTCTACTCCTCTGAAAACTCTGGCTACATTCCTGGTAGCTCACAGGTAAAAATCCTAATATCTTCCTTATTTCAAAAATGGGTGAATAAAAGAAAAAAATCTTTCAAGTTTTTTTTTTTGTTTCCTACATAGAGATTCTTCATCTTGTATTTATATTAGAATCTTTTGATGCTCTATAAAAATTCCAGTGTCCACGCTACACTCCATATTAAACTAGAAATTCCAGGGATGAAATGCCAGTATCAGTACTTTTTAAAGCTATCAATGCACATCCAGTGTTCAACCAATGCTAGCCACTGGTGTAGCAGGCATAGAGTTTAGACTCTGAAAAGACATTCTGCAAAGGGTCATAGAACAAAATTAGATAGCAATTTGGAAGAGTGAGGAAGATTGAAGATAACTGGGAAAGAATATTGGTTGGTTGACTACCATTTCAACCTTGGAATTCATTTAAATATGGACAGTATTGTATATTAGAAGAATATGTTTGCTAATATTGTTTTATATTAATGATGTAGATAATAATATTATTATAAAAAGGAAAATTGGATTTTAACTTAAAGAAACTCAAAGAATCTAACCATAAGAAATTGCAAGTGGGATGGTTTGCTTTCATGAAAAATCAACAACTGACTTTCTTCAGATAATAGTCTCAGTTGTTACTGCTTGGCTTCTTATCAATCAATGTTTATTTTTCTTTCTAACTTTTTGTAATGTTCTACATGGTATGGTAGCGGTGAAAAGAATCAGGGAAACAGTTTTTTTCAAGGTATATTTTATTTTCTTGTTTGCTAATATTGGTATATTCCGAGACTACACTATGTGTTCTATTTTTAAGAAGTTAAAGGTAAATGCACATTTTTCAGAATTTTATGAAAACCTCAGGTGTCAAATTCTGTAAAAACTCTTTGTGGATAACATTGTATTTGTCTTTATTACTTGAAGAAGTAATTACATTGATTACAGAAGAACAAAGGGACTTGCTTCACAAATACACTGTACATTTGTTTCATTGCTCCTCTGTTTAAATTATTTTGTTCATGGATAACAACATAATAGAGCACCTGAGATGAAATTATGTTCTGAAAATGAATATCACCTAGAAATTATGGACTCCAGGAGATATTCTTCAATGATAAATCTTCCAAAAGGCAATGATATCTCATTGCATTTTATTGGCTAGATGTGTGCATCATAGTAAATAAGTTTGGAGTCAGATAGAGAGAAAAGCCTATCTGTTTTGAATGTTCAAGAAGTGCACTGCAGAAGATAGCTTTCCAGCGTGAGACATTAACACACAACACTTCTCTGGAAAGTATACCTCCCCTCCCCTAATAGGAGTAGGTATAGCAGTAGACACAGGCAGTTAATGTGTGTGCTATATCAATACTAAGCTCTCAGATATATTCTTTAGAAGTGAGGGAGACACAAGATGAGCAGATCAGATTCTTTTTCAAGAGAGTCTGAAACTAAAGGTGCATAGGTTCAGTATGAAGAGTCATGTTAACAGCAGTACAATGAAATATAGATTTCTGACCCTGCCATTCCAGAACCAACTGGTTCCTACCCTTTCTGAGTCCTGCATTTCAACAGTTTATTTTATTTCATGATACACTACAGTATATTTTTGATAAAGTGTTTTCTGTTTGTTTAAAGTAGATGGATGTGGTTTTCTGTGATATGCAACCAAGAGAACCATGACACAGATTTTCAGCGTATTTGAAATCCTCTTGTGTATCCCTTCCATTTTTTAGATTAGTGAACTGAGACTTGGAGAGGTTTAGTCAATTGCACAAAGTTATAAAACTATCTGAAAAGCACATATCTAACTTGAAGTTAGTTAGAATACCCATAATAGATTTT